TTCACAAGACTTCATAAGACTTCATGAGACTTCACAAGACTTCATAAAACTTCACAAGACTTCACAGGACTTCACAAGACTTTACAGGACTTCACAAGACTTCACAAGACTTCACAAGACTTCAAAAGACTTCACAGGACTTCAAGAGGCAAATTCCATGCGTATCAAAAAACCTTATAGAAATTACATGAAACCTGTATAACATACAAAAAATAAAACTTATCATATAGAGATTACAAAAGTGTTTCTTGTTTCTGAGAATTGTTTCTCGTAGTATATCTATATCTAGAATAAAGATGTGACAATGACACAAAGCGTTGATGAAATTAAAACAGAAAGTAAACTTTACTGGTATGCGTATATTTGATTCGATTAATCCAGCATTGAAAAACTCCTATTTTCCGGTGCAAATAAATAACAAGACTAAATTTATACACAAGCAAATGACTTGTTGGTTATTGACCGACAAAGCTAGCCGTTTATCGGCTGATAGATTATCATGAGTGATAGAAATAAACAAAAAGGAATAAAATTCTTCATAAGATTAGCATCGAATAGATGGGACATTTCTTATAAAAATAAACCACTTCATTCAAAAAGCATTCAGTTATTAACTATCATGTTTTCTAAGATCCAACAAACTTGAATTTTTTTTCAGCACCTTGACAAACAAACAATAAAAAGTTCACCTTTCTGCTAAAATAAGACCGTCGAAAACAAGCCAATTTCATTGATTTCTTATGAATTTTCATGCACTAAATGTATTTCAAGACTTCCAGAAGAATTCATGAGACTTCATTAGACTTCATTAGACTTCAAGAGACTTCAAGAGACTTCATGAGACTTCATGAGACTTCAAGAGACTTCATGAGACTTCATTAGACTCCATGAGACTTCATTAGACTTCATGAGACTTCGTGAGACTTCATGAGACTTCATGAGACTTCATTAGACTTCAAGAGACTTCAAGAGACTTCATTAGACTTCATTAGACTTCATTAGACTTCATGAGACTTCATGAGACTTCATTAGACTTCATGGGACTTCATAAGACTTCATAAGACTTTATGAGACTTCAGAAGACTTTATGAGACTTCAGAGACTTCAAGAGACTTTATGAAAATTCATGAGAATTCATAAGACTTCAAAGAGACTTCATAAGACTTCAAAAGACTTTCAGGACTTCATGGGACTTCACGACTGAAGTCTCTGCTGTTTCCCCCTTGTATAATATATTAATTAATTATTAGAAAGACAACATGTGCTTTTGTTATTCACAAGCAATTTAAGGAATCGTAGATGTGAAATTCAATTTGTTCTTCGCTTTTGGCGATTAAAAAATTGTTTTAAAACTGTTATTTGATTCGAAACACTCTCAGAGAAATGTTTCAACATACTATTCATATTCTTATAGAAGTTATTTGTAATAACGTCTGGTGCGAAAGTTTCTGGACAAAATGTTTGTTCATTTTTCGGCCACTTACAAGAGCCAGCAAAAATTCTAAAACACTCGGTTCGAATCAAAATTTTCTGCTCTTTCAGAATCTATGCTCGAAATTTTTTTAGAACTCATAGCTTAGGAATTATAAGCGCATCTTTGAATGATCAGAAAATAAAGTTTGGACGGGTTTCAGTTTAAAATAAAATAATCCAAGATAGGAGTAGAATTTATTTTGAATACACCAAAAGAAAGAGCAAACAGTTTGCTACAAAATGATATCCTAATCACTAATTAACTGTGAGGCTTCGGTCAATAATGAGAGTTTTAGTAAAAGACGCCGTGATATTTTCAAAACTTCTTGGCTTCCAGAATTGCAAAATGAGCTCAATCATTTCTGAAGGTTTGCTATGAGACTCTCGGTTCTTAGCTCATTTTGTAGAGAACGATCTCACTCTTTATACTGTGAAAAAGAAACCGTAATAGAAGTTACTTAATAAGGGCATTATTGCTGCAAAGAATATATACTGCTCAGATGCTGATCTAAAAAAAATCCAAAATGTGATGGAGTCAAGCAAAGAGAAGTGGGACTAAGATAAATTGGACGGCTTTACGATGAAAATAAGAAAGTGTCAACAAAAATCCCTAAAAAACACCATGCAATCAATTTCAAACCAGGTACGACCATATTTTTCGTCTTTGGATCCTTTACTTCAACCGCTTCCGCCCAAATTTTAATTTCAGGCCTTTCAAAGATTCACTCTTAATTTCTAAGATATGAGTGCTACAAAAATTTCGAACATAGTTTTGGAAAGAGCAGAAAATTCTGATTCTAACTCAATGTTTTAAAATTTTTGCTGGCTTCCGTAATCGGTCGAAAAATGAACAAACATTTTGTCCAGAAACTTTCGCACCAGACGTTAGTAGTAAAAATTATGCATCATAATTAAATATATATTGTATATTGTCAACATGATTATGAAATTCTCGAGACACTATTTATTTCATTTTTACATGTTATCCTCTTTTAAATCAAAGTAGTACATAATTACATCATTTTGTAAACTTTGACCAGTCATCGAATCTATTTTAGTGATATATTTAGAGAAAGAAAATTATTTTAACCATTTCATTATAATTGCACGGTAGATGCCGATATTTTTACGAAAATTAATCTTAGTATAACAGTTCCATATAAAAACTAGACAAATTAATTATTCTAATTCTTATTCATGAGATTATTCACAACTGAGCTGATATTTTAACATGGATGCCATTTTATGAAATCAATGCGTTGCAGATATCGTATGAATCCATGATTACATTTTTCAGGAAAAGAAAATCTTGCGTTTTAATAATCAATCGATATATATATATATATGACATAAATTCATACCTTCGATAAAAAAAACATCGAATTATTTTCAAAATATCGAACCTTAATAAATTCTTAATGCTTTAGTATTGATATAAATCTAAATCCTATACCAACGTAGCCGATCTCTTAAATAATGGATGCAATTACATGATAATACATAAAATAAGTTGCATTATCATGTAATTCCATTCATTATTTAACCAACTGGCTAAATGGGTATGGGAACATGTTTAGTTAAAATATCGAATGAAATAGTAGTAGGAATAGGCAAATTTTGTGAATTCTGAATTCTTGATGAACTCAGAACTCTTAAACTAATACAAGACTAGTCACCGCACGGGTCTGTATCCGAGACTGAAACGGGTGAAGAAATCATCATTTGGATTTGATTCGATCCGCACTCTATTCTAATCACTTTGAATTACTTTCTAAAAATCTTCAAACGATTTGGCTCAAGTAAATCAAAATTATTCAATAACTCGATTCAGTTTTGGTCTCTGGCCGATATACATGCAAGGGCGAGAGTGTGGATCCTGTTATGAATGTGTTAGGTTTTAGAATAAATCAAACTTGAATATTGTGGTGTCGTTTATCTCTCCACTTCATTGAGATTGAGAACCCTTATTCATAGCAGTTATTTGAGAATTTATGGTTGACTAAACACTTAGATAATACTGGTTATCTACTATTGGATAGAAAGTCCGAAACATAGTTGATAATTTTTCGCGTCGAGAGAAACTATAGGAGACCAGTAGGAAATAAATCATCCGATTGCGAAACTTATTTATGGGAAAAAATGCCGATAATGACCAAAGCATTTCAGAGTATATTTTATCCAACTTCTGCCATGATCGAAATCATGAATTTATTGTTGTTTGCTTTACCGAAAGATGAACCACTTGTTAGAATTACGAGGATGCTCGTTTATACCTACTTCGTCGAAAATGAAGAAGACAATGGGTTCCATCAATTGCAACAAATTTCACGGCTTCTTAGCGTATTTCACTTGAACGTGTTTTGTAAAATGTTACAAATATGATATTTCATTTAGTGTCTTCAGTTATCAGAATTTCTTAAATGTCTGAATTTCCTGGAATTCTCAGAATTTTTGGAATTCCCTTAGTTTCTATGGTTCCAAAATTTCAAAGAGTTCAATTGTAATGCATTCATCAATGTTTACAATTTCTTATTTATTTCAGAATTCAAATTTCCTGAAGAGTTTAAAATTAACAGAATTCCAGGACACGTCTCATTTAAAACAAAAAAATATGCTCAAAGTATTTATCTTGGTAACAAATCATTTTTAAGGTTTTGAAAATCATTAAAACTAAGTCCTAGATTTTATTCTAGATATACATTTCACAGGATATACTTCACTCAATCTATAAGTAAAGAGCTTAGATTGTTGGCATTTTCTATTCGAATATAATAGACTTTAATATATGTCCAGATACTTTAAGTCATAGTTTATATTCTTACAGCGAAATAGACAATTAATCTATTATTTATTAATTACGATATCATATTGAACTTCAGCATATTTCTATGAAGAAATAGTAATGTTGTCCATTATTGTAGCCTTAATGCGCTTTATAAAATGGGAATAGAAATGTATAGAAAAATATTTTGGTATTTTAAAACCTGTTATAAAAGACTTTTCCACTTACGCGAAAATCGTTGTCTTAATTTCAAATGGATCAAATGTTTATTCTTCGTACGATCAAATTTAATACTTTCAACTTGGAAGCAAACACCTGGTGTAACAAGTTCTTCTTCTTCTGCAGAATATTCAGACAATGGACTTAGATCGGCAATAAAAGCAATGAGTACTTCCATAATGAATAAAGTATTGCCAAATTCTTCTGCTTTCTCTCGATTTCGACTACATGATGTATACGCCTGAAATGATCCATAAGCCGCATCATCTTCGGCCATTTTTGCATACGCAGCGATCTGTTCTTTAGTTAGAGTGGCTCCTCGATAAAGTGTCTTGTTGATTGTCAATTTTGTATTAAATGGATCATCCCATAGTAATAAACAGAATGGACCCAATGTATGAATTTTACTTCGCCACACTTTTTCCTGTTTTTTGTCTCCTATCAATCTCATCGCTGCATTTAATGTTTTGTACAAGAAACTTTCCAATGTGTAAAGATAAGCACAGCGTTTCCATACTTCTTCCATCCCCGAATTCTTCGTTTCTCTAAGCATTTTAGCCAGTTTTTCGGCTTCTCGCTCTTTTCCAATATGTTTTCCTTCTTCAATAATACCAAGTGCAGCCTTTTCGACAAGCATTGGAATCATGGTTGGTTTTTTCGAAGGTAAATCGTCTGGCTCGAGTTTCAAGTCTCGTCTGACTTCTATTACAAATGGAGATACCCAACCATATTGACCACCAAATGAACGTCTGGAACTAACAGGAAGATCCATAAAACGTGCTTCTCGTAGGTGTTTATCTTCTCTTTTACGTTCCACTCGTTTTATCGATCTTTGCTTGTAATCATCAGTGTTCGATATTTGAAGATTACTTTTGAAATCAATAAAATAATCATCGAGTTGAGCTCGTGGTTGTTTATCTTGAAATGCTTCTTCGATAATTAAATTTTCTAAATCTGAGTAATGATTCCATGTAGCCGGCTCCGATTCTGAGAATGGATTTGGATTTGATTGCCACATCCATTCAACAGTTTTTAAAGAATTATTCAATGTTGGAGGTACATACGAAGCCATAATAGTTATTTACTTTTATGCTGTTTTTAAATGGTACAGATACAATAATAAAAAAATTTTTATATTATCTGAAAGTCGAACAATAAATGATAATAGTAAAATTACAAATGAGTTTAATTATGAAGTCTCATTGAATCTTGAAGTTTGCTAAAACCCATTCAAGTCTCATAGATATGAATTATTCCGAAATTTTTTTATAAAAATACCGATAATTTCAAACAATTTTAAACGTGTTGAAGCTTTAAAACTTGCTATTTCTAATTCGTATAAAAAAATATTTAACTTCGTCTCTGTTTCTTAGTCATCTGTTTCATTTGATATTGATATACACAAATAAAATTATAATTGCTTGCAAAAGTTTTGAAAATTATAAAACTTTAGCAACACTTTTCGAAATCAGCATTATTTTAATTTTCTTTTTCAACTTAGAAGTTCTCTCAAAATAAAGTTATTAATGTTTTTCGACAGAATAACACAAAATTTTGTAATACAAATTAATTGGAATACACAAACTAATACTTAGAGAAATTTTCAATCCATTATCGACGAAACATTTCTCTTTTGTTTAAATGAAAACTTGTTCGCTTTTATTCCATTTTATTCTAAACGGGTGGGTGTGGGTGTGGGTGGGGTGTGGGGGTGGGGGGTGGGGGGGTGGGGGTGGGTGGGCGTGGGTGGGGGTGCAGGTGGGGAGGGGGGTGGAGGCAGCGGGAGACGG